CACATTAAAAGAATCCTTGACATATACAAAGGATTTGAAGGGGTGTCAACTTTGGTTGATGTAGGAGGTGGCAATGGACAAAGTCTCAAATTGATTATTGCCAAATATTCATCAATAAAGGCAATCAATTTTGACCTTCCACAAGTGATTGACAATGCACCACCCATTACAGGTAACCTATAACACTCAGACATCAGACATGGCACTAACACGGACACGACACTGACACATCCAGACTAGTAATAATTTGCAAAAAAAGGAATAAATTGAACGTAATCACAAGTGTCGGTGTAGGTCTCTGACAAAGAACAAGCTTTTTTTCACAAGGTGTTAGTGCTTCAGAAGTAATAAGGTATCCTAAGGGTGTTAGTGCTTCGGAAGTAATAAGATATCCTAAGGGTGTTAGTTCATTTGATCACATCTCATACAGAGTATTTATTGAAAAATTGCCAAATTTTATTTAGGTATTGAACATGTTGGAGGAAGTATGTTTGAGAGTATTCCACAAGGAGATGCCATAATACTTAAGGTTGGTATATAAACAAAAAAACTACTCTTTAAGATATATATTGCTTATCAAAATATTCTGTAACCCTAGATTTCATTGTTAGATTTCATTGTTCTAGGGTATATGCCATAACTGGTCAGATGGACAATGTATAGAAATATTAAGCAATTGTCACAAAGCTCTACCTCCAAATGGAAAAGTCATTATCATAGAGCTTACACAACCAGAAGATCCAGAACCAACAGATGCATCTCGCATGATTGCAACTATTGATAACATCATGTTTATCACAGCTGGTGGAAGGGAAAGAACTCTAAAAGAATATGAGAGTTTGGGTAAACAATCTGGATTTTCTAAGCTTCAAGTTGTTTGTCACGCTTTCTCCATACTCGCAGTTATGGAACTTTACAAATAACCAAGTCACACATTGAATCTTAAGAGTATGATGAACTTTCTTATGTTCCTCTAATTTTGTGTGTCCTAGTTTTGAAAGTTGCTTTTTCTTTTTCTTTTTAACTGTTGATTTTTCCTTTCTTTTCATGTATTATGTTTTTCATTTATTTTCATGCATTATGGTTTTTATTTCTTTTAATGTATCATGTTTTCCTGTGTAATATTTCAATCCTTTGGGGGAGTGTTCCTATTGTTTCAACTTGAAATTGTTATTAACTTTTTGTTGTCTTTTAGTGATTTTTTTTTTTTTTGCTGTTTCCCTTCATTGAAAAGAATAGTTAAATATGAGCATCTTCACAAACACAAACAGATGTAAATCAACCAATAAAAAAAAAATTGATGATTCACATACTGAGTTAAAAAATGCAACCACAAATAGTAGACGTATCCAATAATAACAAAATAACTTGCAAAAGACAAATAACTTCCTATGACTCCAAAATATCATTAATGGCACTTAATTAACAGATATGATGTTTTTCTCTATATGGTTGTCTAATTCAGTGCTGTGAGCAGTATATTTCATTTCACTCATTATTAAAGTGTAAAGATAGAAACTTACAAGTTCAAGAAGAAATAGTACTTTTTGAGATGACATCAAAGGATATTCCATTTTGTTGAAGTTTCTGTTGGAGATCAGTAGGACCAAATACGATTCCAGGAGGGTAAACGCCTCCTTTAGGTAGGTTTTTGCGCTGGCTGAGAAGAATGAGAGCACACTGAACAAGAATTATTGGGGTCGCTACATATCCAATTTCAGGTCCTGTTACCCTTGTTACAATTTCCATATCAGGTTTTGTGTTTTCCTGTGAAGCAAGACTCTCGTTACTAAAACCGCGTCCGACAAACCACATCTTGAAAGATGCGCTTTCGAATTCCTCTTCGGAAGGGCCATTCTTCCTGAACCAACCGTGGCTAAATAAAGAAGGAAATTTCAAAATAAGCCACCGTCCAAAACCCGTGCTTCCAAAAAGGCCAATACAAATTCCAACCATGATGATTCTTAAAATGCCAAACAAAGACTTTGAGCCTATTTTCACACCAAAATGAGCTGGCTTCACCGATGACCAGAAGGCCTCTCTTTTTTGAACCGTCTCAGAACTTTCGTTCGAACCGGGAAGACCATTGAGGTTTTCTGTTAGTGTTGAAAGTGTTCTTCGAACAACACTTGCATCTGCTGAAGGAAGCACTACTGCCCAAAGGCCAATTTTCTTCTGGTGTTCTATAGTCTGTCCTTTTGAAGGAGAGGGCCCAGGAATCTACAACCATGAAAACAGAAATCAATAAAAACAAAAATAGTAGTAATGTTAATATTAAAAAAGTACAAGGAAAAAATACAATACAGGTTCAATTAAAAGCAGAAAGAAGAGTTTCTGCTTTGATAATGGAAAAACCAGTCTCAACTCCTCCCCCTATGACCCACACTGCATTGCCTAACACACTTGTCACCTCAACATGTAACTAATTCTCTACCCCTATGCTTTTCTTCCTCATATGGAAGGTATGTCCGATGTCTGACATGTATCATGTCAGACACCAATATGACACTGACGTATATGATTACATATTTTCTCAAATTATTATCAATGACTGTGTGTCAGTGTCCAGGCTTATATGTATCTTGGTGCACCATAGATCCTAGGGAACTAGGCTTATTATTGTTCAAGTCCAATAGCTAGTCCATGCTTTGGTCTATCTCACTGCTCATATTATATTCATTTTTCTATTCTCTAGCATTGACATGTTTTACCCAGCAATTTCAACATGCATGTTATGTGAGTGCATCTGTGCATGTGCAAACACAAAAAAAAACAGTCATCAGCCAAATGGAAAAGTTATCTTGGTTTTCAAGGTACTGCACGTACAAACACAACTAAATTTCTCAGTACAGCCTCTATCCTTTACTGAGGCAGTAGCCAACACTGGAATGTCGACAATTAAGAGCAGACATCTTGCTCCGTCCAAGAATTTATTAAACTTCAACACACACCTAGTCTAACACAAACCACAAAATTCTAAATTGCCAACTTGGTTAAAAACCATTACACTCTTCAAGTTGATTTCTACACCAAGAAACCTAAGTAATTGACCAACGATTGCATGCACAATAATGATGATGGAAACTAGACCCTTCAAATGCAATAACAATTTTGTTTGAACCTTACAAATGCAATAAACTCCATTACCTATTTACCTCCATCCACCCTCCTAGTCCCTAAAGATTTACCGCCTCAGAAGTGAATATTTCATTTTAGCGAGTAAAGTGATGAAAATTGTTGGGAAAATTTTATGGTTAATATTCCAATACATCCTTGGTATAACAACAACAGTCGGTTTTCTTATAAATAGATGAGATTGAGATTATTTAATTTATCCTCTAGAGCAAATTGTTCATTTTGTAGGAGCCAAATCCAATCCCAGACAAACATTCATGCAAACAAGAAGAAGAGGAATTCTAAGGTTTTCATCATACAAAGAAAACATTTGTTCAATTAATTACACTTATATCTTCATTCTATCATATCATGTATTAGTTCAATCTAACAAATTGAAGGCATCATGTTATTTCCTATCAAGTAGTACTTCAATTTCGACTTGAAACTATTACTTTTCCTATCTATAAAATATAATAAAAAATCCTTAAACTATTTAAATCCATCATGTTAGTTCCTCGAAAGAAAATATATATTGTTGTCATTGACAAATTTAATATAAAAATAATTTTCTGTTTCTTTTTGTGGATTGGTTAAGAGGGTATTGCATATAAAGACAGATATGTACATTTCAATAGTTGGAAAACTAACTTGATTGAGAACAGTTTGTGTACTATTTATTATATTTCTATAGCTAGACTAATTTGATTGAAAATATTTCATGGCCTATTTATCCCATTTATATAGTTTAGGGGCCAAATAAGAGTGTGTTACAGTTTAGAACAGAATTGAAGGCTTGAGGTATATTTAAATTGACTTATTATAATTTATTTGCTAACATAACCACTTCTAAGAATATCTAAGAGAGCTTCTGAAAACAACTTTTCACATATCTTATATAAAAACATTTTTTATATAAAAACATGTTTAGAAGTGCGGGGCACACTCCATATATGGGTGGAGTGTGAGATTAGTATTTCCCTTAATATGAGATCATTGAGCTCACGTTACACCCTTTTATTTATGAACAATAATAGTACGTAACTCAACTTTAAAAAATGCTAACGATTGATATTGTTATGATAAAACATGAAAAATGAATATTAGAGTTAAAACCATATCAACCTCTTAGCTACTACGAGAGAATAGAACGCTTCCACGGTTAGACCCTATTCTCACGCTTTCTTCTTCTTCCTCCTTTCCAACTCACACACTGTGTCACACACAAAAACAATCACACCATCATTTCTCTCTAATTTCCCTAATCACCATGGTCCCACACGCTCACGCTATGCCTGAATATCCCAAACACCCATGGACAGTTTAAGCATATAATTTATGGCTATGTTTGGACAGTTTAAGCATTTTAGGATGCAAGTCAAATTCTTCCCTCCGCCCAAATAGGAGGGGAAGGAATATAGTGGTAAGTGATGGAATGGAATCCATACCACCTCATTCCACTCCGTCAGCTCCATCTGATTTTAAATGATCCAAATAATAGAACACCACTTCATTCGATCATATACCTCTCCATTCCACCCGATTCCATTCATCCAAACAAACCCTATATGAAATTACTTATACCTTACATGAAAAACAGTTTAAACTAAGCACATATGAAAACAGTTTAAACTTATAGCTTAAATGAAAACAGATTAAAACAGATTAATATACGTAGCAAAGTTCCCAACAATTCTCTTCCTAGACTCCAAGCTAACATACGCCTCAACCCGGTTAGGCACAGAAAGACCCACCCACTGCAACGAATTAAAGAACAACCCAAGCTCCGCCGGAACAGAATCAAAACCGCAAGCCGAAACCACAAGAGTACCAGTTTCACCCGCTCGATCATGGTAATCACTCTCCATCCTCTCCATAAACTCCGGCTAGCCGCAAATATCGAGATAATCGCAACCCGAATCAACGCAAGCGGAAACGACGGTTTCCCCGTGGAGACGAAAAGGACTGACGCAATTGAGGATGAGGCGGGTTTGGGAGCAGAGGGAACGAAGGGAGGATGGATCGGACGTATCGGCAGGGAGAATTGGGATAATCGGCGGTGGATGTGGGTTTGAAGCCCATTTTAGGGTTTGGGCGAGTTTTGTAGGGTTTCGACCAGCGATGGCTACGGAATTGAGAGAAGATTGTGATTGGGATGAGTTGTTGAGGAATTTGAGTGCTTCTTTGAGAACGTATTTGCCTGTGAAACCTGAAGCTCCGAGGATTATGAGATCGAATTTTGTTACGTTTTGTTCCATTTTTTGAATTCGTCGGAGAGGAAGAGTGTGGTTTTCAAAATTATTGATTGAATTGAAGCTCTAACTCAAATAAAATACAATAATCTTGTCCTATAACTGGTTCCCGATAATCTTTATATCTATAAGTCATTTTAACTACTCTTAACAACTTTTAGCGCTCAGAGCGTATATTTATATCTATAAATCACTTAGCGCTAACATCTTCTTAAAAGATAACTTGTAAGTAAACTAGAGGGTAAACTTGTCATAAAAAAAAGTTAAAAAGTAAACTTGTTAAAATAGATCGGTCCAAAATATTGTATCCTTTTTATATATAGATATAAATAGATACATTATTTTAATATTTGATATGTTTTTCTGAATTTTTTTTTAAAGTAGCAATGTTATATAATTTAATTACCAAATAAAACAAGCTTTCAAAAAAATTATCAAAATGACAAACTTTAAAATCATCCAGCAAGCATTCCTCAAATGGTTTGGCGAATTAGTTAAAATAATGTTGTTAAGGCATTTGCCAAATGGAATGACGAATTAGGCCATTTGGAAATGTGTTTTCGCCACATGAATTGGCGAATGTGGCTAATTTTTAGGGTTTCCAATTTTTTTTTGTTTTTCTTGTATTTTTTATCATATATTTAAAGTTTTAAAATTTTTTAGGGTTTTAAGAAATGGATTGACGAATTGGTTGAAGTGTGGATTTGGCCCATGTCGCCAAATGGTTTGGCGAATGAATGTTGAAAGTTTGCTACATCGGTAAATAATTTGAAATTATAATTTGTTTGGTAATAAAGTTGAATAACATTGCTACTTTAAAAAAAAATTCTGTTTTTCATATATTTAACACTAAAACCCTCTTAGAATTATTTTCTCTCTCCCTTTTTATAACCCTTTCCGTTTATAAGTTAATTAATTATTACTTTTAAAAAATAAGAAAATAGAAGATGCACAAAATACTTTTTCATGAATATCTAATGAACATTCTATCAAATAAGCATAAATTTAATATATATTTTATAATATTGTGTTTTATAATTTTTTTGATTGGAATAAACGTAACGTATTACATTAATTAAAAATTCTTTGGAGGAGTTAAATTAAATAAATATATGAAATATAAGGTTTTTATAGAATTAAAAATAATATAAAATTTTAAATTGCGGATATAATTAGAGTGAATAGCTTTAACAACTGTCTGAGAATCACATTCAAAAACCATATTATCCCGCTGCAAAGAAGTGGATTAATGAATTGCTTCTTTTAGAACTATGACTTCAAATTCAATCACGAACATAATTCTAGGATCTCAAGTGTTGCGGTTAGAATATGATATCAAATTATTAATTAATTTGAATCACATCTTTACTTCACAACCGGTCTTTGATTTATCCGAAGGAAAATGTCAAAGGAAAGAAAATCTAAATTTTGCATCGTAAACAATGCGGGGAGAGATCTAGGTAAAGGGTTGGTTAAGCTTAGGGAAGGTATTAGCACCTTAAACTTCTGTAGTACTCTACAAGAACCTTTTGTTTAAAATTTACTATTTTGCTTGACTATCTGCTTGAAGGTGCATTGCTAAAGGTTAAAAGTGACAGAGAGACCTAAGGGTTAGCCCTAAGTTTACTCACCAAGACTCGCATCTTGTGTCTACGTATCCGAGGTAGAAGATGGAATCAGAGTAATCGTAGTTACCCTCAAAAGGGAGGTTAGAAACTTCTTGGCTGTGGTCTAGGTTTCAATGAGGAATAAGCGTTCTTAAGGAAGCGCTTACGTGAAATGAATTGAAATGAAAAGGGTAAAAGGGGTATTCCACGGCGAGAAACCCTAAAACTGAGTGCAGCGACTCCTTAACCTAATGCTAGGGTAAATGGTATTTTAGTCCACGGCAGGACGCCTAAACGACTAGAAATTGAAAAAGTCAAGGGTGAGGGCTATTGACTCGACGGTTAAACGGCTAGACCTAATCCTTCGGAGGATTTTAACGGTGAATGATGCAAATGACAAATTAGTTAAGCTACAACATTGAAGTATAGGAAAGTACAAAAGCAGTAAAAAAAGTGCAAAGCGACGATACACTCGCGTAAAATTACAACCCAAAAATGAGAATGCGAAAAGTACGGGGAATTTAGCAATTATACAACTGAGGAACAGTGGGAAAAACGACATACGCGTTATACAAACTTAACGGACAATAAACGAAAAATTTAATTCGTAAGCTGAAATCGAGGTGTTAGCCGCATTTGAAGTTAAATGAAGAATTTACAAGATAAGAAAATGGTTCTAATTCATGATTTTCCTAAAAAGGTCTTGATTAGTTACAATGGTTTTAACTTTAAAAATGGTTTTACTTAGACAAAAGATTTTAATTTTATTTTATGAACATAGGGTTTTATTTCTAAGTTACCAAAATATGGGTTTTAATTTTCTAAAATGAAGTTTTAGTGTTAATAAAGATTTTAATTTTCAAAAAATGTTTTTATTTTTATTTTAAAGAAAAGGGGATTTGATTAATTTCTAAAAAAAGACAATTATTAATATGAGTTTTCATTAAATGTTTTTCTTTTAAAAATTTTAGAAATGGGTTTAAGTTTAAGTTATTAAAAAATGGTTTTAAAATATGATTTCTTAGGTTTTGTTTTTAAAAGTTTTCGTTAAAGTTTAAGATTTTTTTTGCTTTTATTTTAAGTTGTTAAAAACTAAGTTTTAATTAACTATTAAGAAATTGGTTTTGATTTAGTGATTTAATTAAAATGCATATTTACTCTTCTCTTTGTCGCGGCGGCAACTACTTCATGGTTGTCTCCTTTAGAAGCTTTTCCTCTTCTTCTTTCCAGTTTCTCGTCCATTCACATGTCCCTGAAATGAGAAACAAAAACCGTAAATTGATTCCTTAGTATCTTACCGATGATGAGGTTCTCTCCTCCGCCGATGATGTTGTACGAACTGAAGCAATGGTGGTGATTTGAATCCTCGAAGTGGTTCCGTTTGAGTGAACAATGATGAACTAGTTTTTTCCTTCTGATGAACGGCTGGGTTTTTTCTCGTTTGGTGATGATGACCCTTATCTTCGTTCTTGGGTTTGTGATTTCCGCTTGGGATTCTTGACTCTGGTTGATGATGATGATCGATCTCCTTCGTTGATGAAGGTGACGATCCCTTTCTGGGTTTTCTGAATCCCCTCTTAAAAAATCTCCTCCTCTTTTTTATATTGTTCTGGCTGGTTTTATGGGCCTAGGCAAATGTGGTTCTTGTGACTTTGGTTTTGATCTTGTTGCTGAGGTTGCGAATTTGATGATTCTGTGGTTGTGATGTTCTTGCGTTCTTGGAGGAACTATTTTCGTTTGGCTGTTGCTTTTGCAAACGTTGTTGCTGGAAACTTGGAAATTTTTTAGGCTGAGGATTTGGTCTTGGTTGTTGTGAACCATGCGAATCTTGTTTGGTTATTGTCCAGATTTGTTTGGCATTCAGAATTTTTGGGCAACCCGTTAGTGGTTTGTTTGGCAAAAACATTTTTTGAATAAGTGCTTTTTCCAAAAGCACTTATTTTCAAAATCACTTTTTTGGAAAAATCACTTTTACTCTCTCCTGGCTAAAACGTAGAACAGAAGTTGCTTGGATTTGTGCCGGGGTCGGAAAAAATAAGTCGAGAGTTGGCGACGACTTCGTCGTTGCCCTCCCGACGTACCCGATGATGAATCTTTACTGAGGGTATCGGAACCAAAAAAAAGTCGATCTTTCTAACCATTTAAAATTGCTTGCTCTATTTTTGGCTTTTCTTTGCAGGTTCGGACGAGTCAAAAATCGAAGAATCGGCGTGAAGACAAATTTTTAGAACCATTAGGAATTTTAAGAATTAATAATCTATTTGTAATTGTAATTCTTTTTGTAATGTTGTAATAAAAAATAATAGAATAAATAAAATTCTATTTTCTTGTTAACTTGAATTTTCTCGAACAATTCATCCGAATAATTCTCCCGATTAAACTCGAATGAACAAATCTACTTAGTTAAACTTATTCAACTAAATTTAATTCACCAAATAATTCATCCGACTAAAATCACCCAATTAATTCATCTGCTTCAATTGTCCAATTAAATCCACCTGACCAAGCTCATCTGATTTCAAATTCATTCGATTAAAAGTCATCTGCTTGAATTCATCAAATAAACTAGTTAATTAAATTTATCCAATGAAAATTGTCCGATTAAACTGTGACGTTCCAACTCCGAATTTGACCATGAAACCATCTTGTACGATTTAAACCTGACATAACTGCTGAGCTCAAAAAACCTCTTACAAATCAATTTGTATCCGATATTAACAGTGAATATGGCCTTGAACGGATAAGCGGAGAAATTCAGTTAAACTGAAAAACGAACTGTCTTCCGTATTGAAAATTCAAACAGCGTCTCGACTATCTTAACTCGGTAAGCTGAATCAGCTCGACTAACAGTCATGATCAAAACAACAAAGGTTCATTATAAATTCCACATGAAACGAAACTCCATTGTTTTCTTCAAAATCGACTGTTGACCAGCAGAAAGCCAGGAAAGCGTGCGTCGCGCTACGTGTCAGTGTCTATCAACACCATGTACAGTGTCGTGCTACGTGTCAGTTTTGTGAAAATAATCTTGAAGATGAATGACATCTGTTTTTTGGTTGTAATGGGATTAACCATTGTTAGAGGGCAACAAGTTTGTCTTCTCTTATAGATGCTTGATTACATTCTTTTTATGATGTTAAATCTCTTATTTTTGACATCTGTAATAAGAAGGATAAGAAAGATGCTGGTAGATTTGTCTTTATGCTAGATGAAATTTAGAAGAACATGAATAATCTCATTTGGAACAATGAACAAGAGGCATCCCCGAAACTTGGATGATTAGCTTTTCACAAGTGGCAGGAATGATTTATGACCCAAAAAGTTTGTGAACTCATAAGTAACCATCATTATCCTTCTTCTTAGAATCTGTCTAGGGAAGGTAGATTGAAATGTAACGTGGACGCAACTTTTAATAAACAGATATGTATTTTTAATATAGGTTGGTGTTTGCGTGATCATAATGAGATTTTTATTACAACATGTGTGGCTTGGGATCTCAAAACTACGTTGGTGATTGAATTTGAAGTCATGGTTCTAAAAGAAACAATTTATGAATCCACTACTTTATAGTTGGATAATGTGGTTTTTGAATGTGATTCTCATACAGTTGTTAAAGTCATTCACTTTAGTTATATCAACAATTCAGAGTTTTGTATTATTCTTGATTCTATAAAAGTCTTGTTATCTGGTAATTCAAACTATGAGGTAAAGTTTATTAGACGCCAAGTGAATATAATTGCATACTCTATTGCTAGGGCATAGCCTAGGCATAATTTGTTTAATTTAGTTTCTCCTTATATTGAATCATTTTTAATTAATGAGTAAAAAAAAGTTACAAAACACAATACTATATAATATATTAAATTTATGCTTATTTAATAGAACGTAAGATGTTGATTAGATATTCAAGGAAAACTATTTTGTGCATCTTCTATTTTTTTATTTTCTAAAAGTAATAATTAATTAACTTATAAATGGAAAGGGTTATAAAAAGGGAGAGAGAAAATAATTCTAAGAGGGTTTTAGTGTTAAATATATGAAAAACATATCAAATATTAAAATAATGTATCTATTTATATCTCTATATAAAAGGATACAATATTTTGGACCGATCTATTTTAACAAGTTTACTTTTTAACTTTTTTTTATGACAAGTTTACCCTCTAGTTTAGTTACAAGTTTACCCTCTAGTTTACTTACAAGTTATTTTCTAAGAAGTTGTTAGCGCTAAGTGATTTATAGATATAAATATACGCTCTGAGCGCTCAGAGTTGTTAAAAGTAGTTAAGTGACTTATAGATATAAAGATTATCGGAAACCAGTTATAGGACAAGATTATTGTATTTTATTTGAGTTAGAGCTTCAATTCAATCAATAATTTTGAAAACCACACTCTTCCTCTCCGACGAATTTAAAAAATGGAACAAAACGTAACAAAATTCGATCTCATAATCCTCGGAGCTTCAGGTTTCACAGGCAAATACGTTCTCAAAGAAGCACTCGAATTCCTCAACAACTCATCCCAATCACAATCTTCTCTCACTTCCGTAGCCATCGCTGGTCGAAACCCTACAAAACTCGCCCAAACCCTAAAATGGGCTTCAAACCCACATCCACCGCCGATTATCCCAATTCTCCCCGCCGATACGTCCGATCCATCCTCCCTTCGTTCCCTCTGCTCCCAAACCCGCCTCATCCTCAATTGCGTCGGTCCTTTTCGGCTACACGGGGAAACCGTCGTTTCCGCTTGCGTTGATTCGGGTTGCGATTATCTCGATATTTGCGGCGAGCCGGAGTTTATGGAGAGGATGGAGAGTGATTACCATGATCGAGCGGGTGAAACTGGTTCTCTTGTGGTTTCGGCTTGCGGTTTTGATTCTGTTCCGGCGGAGCTTGGGTTGTTCTTTAATTCGTTGCAGTGGGTGGGTCTTTCTGTGCCGAACCGGGTTGAGGCCTATGTTAGCTTGGAGTCTAGGAAGAGAATTGTTGGGAACTTTGCTACGTATGAATCTGCGGTTCTTGGTGTGGCGAATGCTAAAGATTTGCAGGCGTTTAGAAGGTCTAGACCAAGAAGACCTAGGCCTCAGGTAACTCAATTTTGAACTTCATTTGTTTGGGAGATTAATCTGTTTTAATCTGTTTTCATTTAAGCTATAAGTTTAAACTGTTTTCATATGTGCTTAGTTTAGACTGTTTTTCATGTAAGGTATAAGTAATTTCATATAGGGTTTGTTTGGATGAATGGAATCGGGTGGAATGGAGAGGTATATGATCGAATGAAGTGGTGTTCCATTGTTTGGATCATTTAAAATCAGATGGAGCGGACGGAGTGGAATGAGGTGGTATGGATTCCATTCCATCACTTACCACTATATTCCTTCCCCTCTGATTTGGGCGGAATGAAGAACTTGACTTCCATCCTAAAATGCTTAAACTGTCCAAACATAGCCATAAGTTATATGCTTAAACCGTCCCTAGTAAAGGCTTATCATGTAGTATGATTAAAACATGTTTTTATATAAAAAATGTTTTTATATAAGATATGTGGAAAGTTGTTTTCACAAGCTCTCTTAGATATTCTTAGAAGTGGTTATGTTAGCAAATAAAGTATAATAAGTCAATTTAAATATACCACAAGCCTTCAATTTTGTTCTAAACTGTAACACACTCTTATTTGGCCCCTAAACTATATAAATGGGATAAATAGGACATGAAATATTTTCAATCAAATTAGTCTAGCTATAGAAATATAATAAATAGTGCACAAACTGTTCTCAATCAAGTTAGTTTTCCAACTATTGAAATGTACATATCTGTCTTTATATGCAATACCCTCTTAACCAATGCACAAAAAGAAACAGAAAATTATTTTTATATTAAATTTGTCAATGACAACAATATATATTTTCTTTCGAGGAACTAACATGATGGATTTAAATAGTTTAAGGATTTTTTATTATATTTTATAGATAGGAAAAGAAATAGTTTCAAGTCGAAATTGAAGTACTATTTGATAGGAAATAACATGATGCCTTCAATTTGTTAGATTGAACTAATACATGATATGATAGAATGAAGATATAAGTGTAATTAATTGAACAAATGTTTTCTTTGTATGATGAAAACCTTAGAATTCCTCTTCTTCTTGTTTGCATGAATGTTTGTCTGGGATTGGATTTGGCTCCTACAAAATGAACAATTTGCTCTAGAGGATAAATTAAATATTCTCAATCTCATCTATTGATAAGAAAACCGACTGTTGTTGTTATACCAAGGATGTATTGGAATATTAACCATAAATTTTTCCCAACAATTTTCATCACTTTACTCGCTAAAATGAAGTATTCACTTCTGAGGAGGTAAATCTTTAGGGACTAGGAGGGTGGATGGAGGTAAATAGGTAATGGAGTTTATTGCATTTGTAAGGGTCAAACAAAATTGTTATTGCATTTAAAGGGTCTAGTTTCCATCACCATTATTGTGCATGCAATCGTTGGTCAATTACTTAGGTTTCTTGGAGTAGAAATCAACTTGAAGAGTGTAATGGTTTTTACCAAGTTGGCAATTTAGAATTTTGTGGTTTGTGTTAGACTAGGTGTGGTTGAAGTTTAATAAATTCTTGGACGGAGCAAGATGTCTGCTCTTAATTGTCGACATTCCAGTGTTGGCTACTGCCTCAGTAACGGATAGAGGCTGTACTGAGAAATTTAGTTGTGTTTGTACGGGCAGTACCTTGAAAAGGAAGATAACTTTTCCATTTGGCTGATGACTGTTTTTTTGTGTTTGCACATGCACAGATGCACTCACATAACATGCATGTTGAAATTGCTGGGTAAAACATGTCAATGCTAGAGAATAGAAAAATGAATATAATATGAGCAGTAAGATAGACCAAAGCATGGACTAGCTATTGGACTTGAACAATAATAAGCCTAGTTCCCTAGGATCTATGATGCACCAAGATACATATAAGCCTGGACACTGACACACTGTCATTGATAATACTTTGAGAAAATAGAAGTATTTAATGTGATCATATACGTCAATGTCATATTGGTGTCTGACATGATACATGTCAGACATCGGATATACCTTCCATACGAGGAAGAAAAGCATAGGGGTAGAGAATTAGTTACATGTTAAGGTGACAAGTGTGTTAGGCAATGCAGTGTGGTCATAGGGGGAGGAGTTGAGACTTGTTTTTCCATTATCAAAGCAGAAACTCTTCTTTCTGCTTTTAATTGAACCTGTATTGTATTTTTTCCTTGTACTTTTTTAATATTAACATTACTACTATTTTGTTTTTATTGATTTCTGTTTTCATGGTTGTAGATTCCTGGGCCCTCTCCTTCAAAAGGACGGACTATAGAACACCAGAAGAAAATTGGCCTTTGGGCAGTAGTGCTTCCTTCAGCAGATGCAAGTGTTGTTCGAAGAACACTTTCAACACTAACAGAAAACCCCAGTGGTCTTCCCAGTTCGAACGAAAGTTCTGAGACGGTTCAAAAAAGAGAGGCCTTCTGGTCATCGGTGAAGCCAGCTCATTTTGGTGTGAAAATAGGCTCAAAGTCTTTGTTTGGCATTTTAAGAATCATCATGGTTGGAATTTGTATTGGCCTTTTTGGAAGCACGGGTTTTGGACGGTGGCTTATTTTGAAATTTCCTTCTTTATTTAGCCTCGGTTGGTTCAGGAAGAATGGCCCTTCCGAAGAGGAAGTCGAAAGCGCATCTTTCAAGATGTGGTTTGTCGGACGCGGTTTTAGTAACGAGAGTCTTGCTTCACAGGAAAACACAAAACCTGATATGGAAATTGTAACAAGGGTAACAGGACCTGAAATTGGATATGTAGCGACCCCAATAATTCTTGTTCAGTGTGCTCTCATTCTTCTCAGCCAGCGCAAAAACCTACCTAAAGGTGGCGTTTACTCTCCCGGAATCGTATTTGGTCCTACTGATCTCCAACAGAAACTTCAACAAAATGGAATATCCTTTGATGTCATCTCAAAAAGCACTATTTCTTCTTGAACTTGTAAGTTTCTATCTTTACACTTTAATATGAGTGAAATGAAATATACTGCTCACAGCACTGAATTAGACAACCATATAGAGAAAAACTTCATATCTGTTAATTAAGTGCCATTAATGATATTTTGGAGTCATAGGAAATTATTTGTCTTTTGCAAGTTATTTTGTTATTATTAGATGCGTCTATTATTTGTGGTTGCATTTTTAAACTCAGTATGTGAATCATCAATTTTTTTTTATTGGTTGATTTACATTTGTTTGTGTTTGTGAAGATGCTCATATTTAACTATTCTTTTCAATGAAGGGAAACAGCAACAAAAAAAAAATATCACTAAAAGACAACAAAAAGTTAATAACAATTTCAAGCTGAAACAATAGGAACACTCCCCCAAAGGATTGAAATATTACACCAAAACATGATACATTAAAAGAAATGAAAACCATAATGCATGAAAATAAATGAAAAACATAATACATGAAAAGAAAGGAAAAATCAACAGTTAAAAAGAAAAAGAAAAAGCAATTTTCAAAACTAGGACACACAAAATTAGAGGAACATAAGAAAGTTCATCATACTCTTAAGATTCAATGTGTGACTTGGTTATTTGTAAAGTTCCATAACTGCGAGTATGGAGAAAATGTGACAAACAACTTGAAGCTTAGAAAATCCAGATTGTTTACCCAAACTCTCATATTCTTTTAGAGTTCTTTCCCTTCCACCAGCTGTGATAAACATGATGTTATCAATAGTTGCAATCATGCGAGATGCATCTGTTGGTTCTGGATCTTCTGGTTGTGTAAGCTCTATGATAATGACTTTTCCATTTGGAGGTAGAGCTTTGTGACAATTGCTTAATATTTCTATACATTGTTCATCTGACCAGTTATGGCATACACCCTAGAACAATGAAATCTAGGGTTACAGAATATTTTGATAAGCAATATATATCTTAAAGAGTAGTTTTTTTGTTTATATACCAACCTTAAGTATTATGGCATCTCCTTGTGGAATACTCTCAAACATACTTCCTCCAACATGTTCAATACCTAAATAAAATTTGGCAATTTTTCAATAAATACTCTGTATGAGATGTGATCAAATGAACTAACACCCTTAGGATATCTTATTACTTCCGAAGCACTAACACCTTGTGAAAAAAAAAGCGTGTTCTTTGTCAGAGACCTACATCGACACTTGTGATTACGTTCAATTTATTCTTTTTTTTTGCAAATTATTACTAGTCTGGATGTGTCAGTGTCGTGTCCGTGTTAGTGCCATGTCTGATGTCTGTGTTATAGGTTACCTGTAATGGGTGGTGCATTGTCAATCACTTGTGGAAGGTCAAAATTGATTGCCTTTATTGATGAATATTTGGCAATAATCAATTTGAGACTTTGTCCATTGCCACCTCCTACATCAACCAAAGTTGATACCCCTTCAAATCCTTTGTATACGTCAAGGATTCTTTTTATGTGAACATTGCACAAATCAGTCATTGATCTGTTTAATAACTGATTTATTTGTGGATCTGTCCCAAAGTACTCGTATATAGATATTCCATTAACTTTCTTGAATAGATCAATCTCTGGATCAATTATTGCTTCCTTAAAATTCAACCTATAAATATATGTTGTATTATGTGATGTGAGCATCAAATTTGATACATGACAGAATATAAATGTTTTTAAGCAAGGTAGAAATACTTACCACACCCCTAACAGTGCACGGTGGCACATGAATGATGTGAATGAACCCACATAACCACCATCATTTTCATCATTAACAAAGTATTTGCCAGAACTTATGACCCCGTATACTCTCACTTTGCTACCGTCGTCATTGGTGCGAGTGGAAACAGAAAGAAGGGAGTAGCTAGCAAGCATGCGCAGCATACGTTCAAGCCGATTTGGTAAGTCAGAGTGTTGAGCTGGTAGCTTTGAAGCAATTTCAATAGCTGACTTGAATTCATTACCTATGATTTCAAACAGTTTGAGTTCAATAGCAGCATTAAGAACAGCAGGAAACACCATATTGGCACCTAGAACCATGGCTAAGAGGGCATCACTATCATCTGTTTGTGGGGTGAGAGTTTCCACTATATTGTTCTCTTTCTCGTTGGAGTAAGAACCCATCTTTGTTTTCTTTGACTAATAGTCTTTCTTGAATTGTGATGGTTGTGTGTTTGCTTCCTTCAAATGCTGGTTTTTATAGAAAGATTTGACACTGCACATAATTGAATATTCTTGCTTAATTATATCACTATCTTACTTAACCTTTTAGTATATCTTTAGTTCCTATATTAAAAATACTGTAATATACATATTATATGTTTTAATTGCTTATATTTTTTGTTAAGAATTTTATTTTTGTTACTTTAACAAATTTGTTTGGTAATTTTTTTAAATATTTTTATAAGATTTAAAATAAGGGTGGGTGAAATATTTCAACTTATATGTATTTGTTGAGTTAAATGGTTATATTTATTTATTTTTATGTATTAATGTACTCATTTTTAACTAAAAATTTAGATTTAGAATCAAAATAAAAAAATACAAAAAATTAATAGTTATTAGTATTTTGGTTTTATTTTTGGCAAAAATATTTTCACTTTCTAACATGGAAATAAAAAATTTGAGTTATGGCAATTTTATTTGAGTATAAAATAGTTGAAAACAATTTTATAAATTTGTACTAAATATGAGAATGCTGTATTTGTAAATTCTAAGAATCTATGTTAATCTTTTGAAACGAACACATTATTTATTTTTTCGATGGTTAATTTTGAAAATTTTAATTATCCTAATTAAATATTATTTATGTTGCTAAATAACAGGTCTTTTTTGTTGCCAATTTTGTGAGTTTTAATAACTCTAACTAGTAACCACAACCCAAACACCTTTTGTAGAACTCAACCGATCTAAAAAGATAAGAAACCACTGCCAACATTGGCGAATCATAGCGTGAGAAGAACAATAACACTCATCCTAGGAACCAATGACAAACCAAAAACAAACGTAAAATAACGACAGGACATATAACCAACCATCAGGAGGCGAAGATGGAGCCAATCGATTAAATATTACAACTTCAAAGGACACCTCAAAGGACACTTGAGAGATGGCTTTAACAACATCGAAAATCATACTGTTTTGTACTACTCCAATGAGATATAGAGGTGTTAGCTTTCAAATTCGACACTGTCTTGGGTTGCTAAACATTAAGACATAATTAATGTCTAAGTAAAATGAAGCAAAGAGGTTTCGACAGCCTCTAAGGAATTTTCTAAGCTGAACGGATGAAATAACTTAGAAAAATTAAGAAGCCTAAAGTTATGAGCATTTCGACCATGTCAGAGGTCGTTCGACCGAGATTCTGCAAATGGCATTGCTACGTCGTTTTGAAATTCAAAATTTAGAGGGAGGGGTTTTGTTCATAAGACACGTGGCGAGTTCTAGAGCAGGAAGTTACATGCAAATGACACTTGTTAGATCGAGAAGACACTAGGAAGTTATTAGCAGTTAATTATTAGCATTATAAATAGGGATTTGTTAAGCAGATTTCTGGGTGTTTTACCATTTGTACAAAGTAACTCCAATCAAATTTACTCAAAGTACCCGAGTGTGAGAAAAGAGTATTTTCACGGAGAATGTACGTTATGTAAAATCACCAACTTTTCAATAAAGTCTTTTAGAATTTCAACAACATTTACATTTCCTCTGTCGAACCACTTGTGCAAGTGTTACGTTTTGCCTTTACCTTTCCTGCATCCTTTACTCCAATTCCTTCTTCCCTTTAAACTTTTTACCTTTTTCGATCAGCCTTTTACAAATCTTTTACAGCGTTTCTTTAAGTTTATGCACTTTAAGATACCCAGTCACAGTCTTTTTCATTACAAGCACATTTACCAATTATCACAAGTAATTTAAATTTAATTCTAAACATTGAATACTTTAGCACATGTCCTAGGATCAATCTGATCGATCCTGTGAGTCACCAAAGTCAGAATTGGAAGATCAGCGGTTGTTTTCCGATTTTCAAGGGAAACAAAATGGCACGCCCAGTGGAACGGTGCTAAATATCCCCGCGATTTAGAATTAAAACATTCTCATTCACAAGTCTTAATAATCTTCGTAGAAAGTACATTATATGTTACTAAGAAGTGGTAGAATTACCGCTGCTAACGAAGAAAGACGAACAATCCTTAGGAATATGGCGACGGAAACGAACCAGCCAAACAATCCTAACCCACAAGTCCAAGGTTCTGGCGAAGGAACCAGTAACAACATGGTCCCACCGCCTATACCATCGACAGGAGAGCAAGTAGCGCCTCCCATAAGGTCAGAACAAACCGTCGCCCCAGTAGGATCTGGGACAACGATAGTTATGCCTTACACACAACCCGTATTGGAGTATATTGGGCCACCAGTGTCGAATCCCCAAACTCCAATAGCAGGACCATCAGTGTCAAGGCAGTTTGCCCCTCTTGGTCTTTCGCAGTTGCCAAGGAATCCCCCGTATGGGATGTCAACGACTGTAATGCAGGGGCTGCAAAATGCGCCCCCAATATTTTCTGACAACACAATGGCGTCACCTTTGTAAGGATCAGGCCCTGGTTCAAACATTGGTCGAAACCCTCAGAGTTTAAGTCTAGGATACTCGACTCAAGGTCCCAATCTAACCAATACGTATGTTGCCTGTTTGAGGCAGCAGATGGATGAGAGTAACTTACAGATGGTTCAAACCCTCTCTCAGACTATGGGTGAGATCTTTCAGCCATTAATTCGAGACACAACTCACGCTAACCAACAACTGGCGACACAGTTAACACGCTTGACTGAATTTATAGGGGTACCTCCGTTAGAAAGAAACCAAGCCCCTGTGGAGAATACTCCACAACAAATTCCAAGAGTGGCGCCAGAAGCCAATTTAGAGAACCAAGGAGGAATAGACCCTTATGTTGTCGAAACTCCCAGAGTCCAGGTCGAGAGAAACCCAGAAATAGTTATGGTGAATCGAAACCAGGATGCAGACAATGTGGTGCAGCAAGTAAGACGCAACAACCTCGCGGTCGAAAACAACTTGGCTACGATGGTAGAAAGAATCATGACTCGAAATGGCCTAAACACTGGGTTTACTAGGCCAAATTATACTTCACCAATAGTCGACTACATCCTTCGAGCGGAATTACCCCCTAGGACTAAGGTGCCTAAGTTCATTAAGTTTTCAGGGGACACGACGGAGTCCACCGTCGAACACGTAGCACGCTACATAATGGAGGCTGGGGAGATAGCCAATGACGAAAGGCTTAGGATAAAATACTTCCCAAGTTCTCTTATAAAGAACGCCTTCACGTGGTTTACCACTTTACCACCAAGTACAATATGTAACTGGACGCAGTTAGAACGACTCTTCCATGAACAGTTTTACATGGGACAGACGAAGATTAGTTTGAAAGAGTTGGGCAGTGTAAAACATAAGTTTTCAGAGTCAATCGAAGAATACCTCAATAGGTTTCGACTACTTAAGGCAAGGTGTTTCACACAGGTGCCTGAACATGAGTTGGTCGAAATGGCAACAGGAGGCTTAGATTACTCTATTAGGAAGAAATTAGATACGCAGTATCTGAGAGATATGGCCCAATTGGCCGACAGAGTCCGACAGCTAGAAAGACTGAAAGACGAAAAGTCAAGATTTAACAAAGGCAAGAAAGTAGCTTTTGTCGAACTCAACGAAAGTAGCGAAGGGGCTGGCGAAGAGTCCCCCTACTTCGAGGAGAACGAAGTCGATCTTGCTGAATTAAAACAGGGTCCCCCATATTCCTGTCGGGTACTGGCCCCTCCTCAAGGAAAGGGCTTTGTCGAATCAGAAAAGAACGACAGGTTCCCTAAGAAAACTTACACCTTTGACACCACGAAATGTGATGAAATCTTCGATTTCCTAGTAAAGGATGGGCATATGATAGTGCCGCCTGGTGCTAAAACACCGCCCTTAGAGCAGCGAAAAAAGAGAGGTTTTTGTAAGTATCATAATTTTCTGGGTCATAAAACATCTCAATGTTTTCTTTTCAGGGATCTCGTCCAAAATGCGATACAGGAGGGACGCTTGAAGTTTGGAGATAAGGCGAAGGGCCAGATGAAGGTGGATGTTGATCCGCTGCAATTGGCTGATGCTCTTTATGCTGAACCTATGGAAGCAAACATGATAGATGCTACTGAGGGCATCGAGTTTTCTGTTAACATGATGGAGGTTAATGAGGACCTCATTTCAGCACCAGTGATGGCGAAATGCGTCATGGATTTCGGTTTGGACGATACAGCAGTCACAGTCGAGGAGAATACTGGTCGAAATGATAACGATTCAAGTCTAAGGGTTCAAAGTCATCCAAGTTACGCCATGGTAACCAAGGAAACAACTGATCATTTCGTCAGAATGGACCAGGCCACTGAGGGCTTGGAAAGAATGGAGCTAGACGGGACGGTCGAAGTTAATATGGTCGACATTAACCCATCGGAGATCATGGAAGAGAAAGAATCAAAACACCATGAGGGATGTAGCAGGTTAGCATACCCAGAGACAGAAGAGTCAATCGTTGGTTTTTTACATCGGTGCAAAGACAATGGATCGAGCGTGATGCTGTGTCCCAGGTGCAGCGCCATTTTTGATAGAAAAGCAGCAGAGAAGCTAGAGGGAGAACGTCGACGTCGTCTGAACAGAGGTGACCATGGTTTTGATCAACGAAAGAGCTACTACAGGAGGACAGAAGACAAACGGTTTGAACCTCGAATCAGGCCACCAATTGCTAGGCCCGCCAGTTTCAAACCTGTTGTCGATTCCGCTGATGGAAAGTGGAGGAAGCCTAATGAAGAGAGGGCGCAAGGGCAGCAAAGGTGGAAGAGCTTCGAAGTGAATCGAGGATCTTCGGTCTCCTACAGCAAGGAGTATCAATACTAAAAAATAGCGCACATATCTGAAAACTATAAAGGTAAGAATCCTATGACTAGATCTCAATGGAGGAGAGAGCAAAGAAGAAGAAAGGCTCTCAGAGAAGAGATGGAGAAAAATCAGTCAAAGAATAGTTCAAACCCCCCCGGAAAAGAAGAACAGCAGTCGAAGATAGCTGAAAAGTTACCAG